TCCCAATGAGCCTAACACATGCATGTCTCATGATTATCCGAACAAAAAAGTGTGGCTCACACACAAATTTACTGGGGATAGAGTTCATCAGAGAAATGCTTGTGATGATTCTCTTTTGAGGGAGCCAATATCTGACTTGTGTATTGTAAAATAGCAGTTGGAATTTACAGTGCTGTACTGCTCAATACTCCAGGACATGCAGCAGGCTACAAAACTTGAGACCTTTCCAAGGTTTAACGATCTGCTTCTCTTACATGCTGAAAAGAGTGTAAGCACATTGTAAAATATACAAAAGATCTTTTAATTAACTTATTTACAAGCATGACCTTTGGGTGCACTGAGAAATTTGACGTGGGCACATTTAATAACATCTGTTTTCAATTATAACATGATTTATGCTGTATCCCTTAAACAATATCAGTACACTTCTTGTACAGTCTTACAGGACTAGGTGCTATTAGTCCACTGGTTAGCTTTTCCTTTCAACCCCCTTTTCACAGTCCCATGTAGGGCCATTTGCAGCCATTGCCATGCTAGTATTTTCAAGGATGAACTTGGGGTCCAGCTGGGCTTCTGTTAGGTTCTGACACCATCCTGTTCAAATGTACTATACTTTCTCCTCCCTATTTTACCATTTCTTCCATAACTGTCTTGTCCCACCTGACTCTCTCTCTCCATCTTTCTTCTCTATCCTTTTAAAATGTGAGTAATTCGAATTTCATCCCGCTGTTAAGGATGACGTGGACGGCGCTCTTCTATTTTGTTTAAAGGGAAATGTTGGTGTGTGATTCAGAAATAATGTCAGATTCCATCCAAGTAGCAGGATTTTGGGAAGAGGCTTGTGAAGGAGGCTCAGTGTGACATCTCACAAAATCAAAACCAAAACATGTCTTATTGTGTTGCTCATCCTCAGGCTGTAAAGACAGGCTGTTATTTCCTCTCCTTTGATATTTCATTTCTAAGATGAACTCCATTATTTGTAAGTTAGTTTCTGTGCCCATGACAATTTTTGATGTGTTAATAAGCTTGATGTTGAAATCTTAGTTTATTCTCAAATTCAGAGCGAGGGTCCCTTGAGCTGTAATTAAAGTCCCCAAGCAAAAGATTTGTGAAGCTGGACCTAAAGAAGTGAGTCCATCTTCTACTGTAAACCCTTTGGTGCAGGGAGTTTCCATCTGTGTTTATACAGTGGCCAATCCTGTGGAAATCAATATTGATTCGGGTTTGGGTAATAAAAAAAACCCTAGAAATCTATATATATATTTTCAAATTGTGAACATTACAACAAAAACAAAACCTCAAAGAGAACTAGGAAATATTTGGCTAAAGTTAGAAGAAACCCACGTATTTGAAAGTGTGGATATGCATGATTAAAGCGCCAAAACAATCTTAACTCTGCTCCAGTAGTGTCTCATTGACAACAAGCAGAACCTCCACAACAGTCTTATCTGTACATAACAAACACGTTCATCGTGTCAGTGAGCAAGAATGAGAATTATTATTTTTATTACAGTAGTGCCTAGGGACCAGCCAAAAAGGAGTACTGTTTTTGGGTGGGGGTAGTTAGGAGAGGAGAAGCTAAACAGATCACCAGGGATGGGGAAACAGAGACAGAAAAGGGGGAAAGGGTATGAAGTCAGGGTAACTGAAGCAAACTGTGTAAATGTGTGGAATGGAGTAAACAGCAAATCAGACCAAGGGAGAGAACACCCTGCTGCAAACCCCCTGAGGCTGCTTCTGGGTCTGCTCCCACAGGCTTCACTTTCTTTGGCCCGTAGAGCTAGGTCCTCCCTGGAATTTCTTATTCCCCTGAACCCACATAGATAAGAGGGGGTGCATGGTTTGGGCAAGGAAAGGGGGAGCTGTGAAGTCTCAGTTCAGTGGCTTAAGTCCCCACTGCAGTTCAGAGGCTTATTGATCATGTTTTCCTTCCTCATGTAGTTATGTGTCTCAAAGCCCACACACACTTCAGATGAGGGTAACTGCACAGAAGAGTCCTTGTAATTTAGTTCTGTAATATTTTTGCTTGCAGCTACCACAGAGGGTTGCACAAATCTCAAATGTATATTTTCATGCAGGATCATCATTGCTGGGTGCAAAAGTTTGGAGGAGCAAGTTGAACTTTTTAGACATGGGCAGCACTACTTGCAAAAACAATAAATACACCTTTGACAAAGGATTCTCGAAGCTAATTGGGAGTTGAGAACACTCAGAGTCCGCACATTTCAGGAGGCACACGTAGGACAAGTTAGATATTTGGAGCTGGTTCTCTCCCCATTAAGGTTTCGAATCAAGCTTTGTCCTCTTGTTCCCTCTACCACTCCTGGAGCAAGTCCACTGTGAGGGGACTACAACAGGAGTTAGTGAACAATCACCCAGTGCCATGTGACAAGGATATTAACCTTTTATAGCCCTGACTCATGTCATGTGTGACTGTGGCAGGGAAATAAAGATCACTGTCTGGCCAGTATGTCATACCTTCATTATAAGAAAGCTGCTGGTGAGTGGAATGTCATCTCTAAGTTTGGGATTTCCTGTGCATATGGGTGGTAGATTTGGCTATTTAGTGTATCTGTGGTTTTATACTTCTGCAATATGCTGCTGTTCTGTCAGCAGATCCATTTGTCTAGGTACTTACATGGCCTTCATCATCATAGTATCGGCAGAATTAAAGGGTACAGAATTAATCAGCCAGGCCTCTTCAGCAGGATAAAATCTTTATAACCATAAAACAAAACAAGTTACCTCAGCAAAACCAAATGTAAAAATAAAGGCCCTTTTCACGCTGCAGATTTAACCCAGAGCTCAGATTTGGTGTGTGGAGCCCTGTACTCCCTCAGGTAAACTCCCTTCCCTGTCTCCCCACACAGCAGTTTTATCTTACAATTCCTCTCCAGAGCTCCAGTGCATGGGGGAGGAGGGATGGGGGAGAAGGGAAGTTAGCTCTGAACGAAACCCTTACTTACTGGGGATTGCTGCTGCACCAGACTCAGCCCTTCTTCTGTTTTCTTGTCAGGTGTCAAGGAACGGCTCATTAAACAATTCCCAAATGAACACGATGCTCCCAAGTGCAATGACTCTAAGTGCCATTTCCCCGCTCCTTTTCTGTTCTTTCTAGTTTCTATTGGCTTTTCGTTTTTTGTTTGGTAGTTTTGTATTTTTAAAAATACTTTATAGTGGTTGATGAACAAAAGTGTTATTGTCTCCTGCTGGTTTTTTCCCTCTAGAACTGTATTTTTTTAGTGGCTTCTAAGGCAGAGCTGACACAAGTGCATTGAAGGGTGTCGTCAGGCCTGCTGATGGGGCACAGTGTTGTGGGATGATTAATGATTACGCTGGGGACTTACTGTCTACTTGGTCTTATTGCTGATCCCTGAGACACCTTTCTCAAAAATCACAGCTTTGTTTAACTAATCAGAAAAGCTAATGGAAAAGCAACTCTCCACTGCTCAATCTAGTTTCCCAACATCTGGCACTAAACTCTGCCAGCAATGAGGATGATACTTGGGTGACAGTGGTGTGTCTTGGAGATCAGCGTAATCTGCAGAATACTTATGGACCCTTCTTGCTTTATCTCAGGTCCTTATGCGGCGCCCCTTACCATAACACTTGAGTGCCTTACACTTTTTACAATATAGTTATCTTCGCAACACCTGTCAAGTAAGGAATTATCTAGCTTACGAATAGGGAATTTAGGCACATAGGGATTAAATGACATTGCCAATGTCACACCGGAAGTCTGTGGCAGAGCCAGGAGGCGATCCGGGTTCCGTTGATTCCCATTCTAGAGCATACTTGGCATGCATATAAAAAACAGTAACTTTGTCATCAAAAAGAAATGTAAAGGACTACTACTACTACTAACAATAAAAAAATATAAGCCAGGGGTCGGCAACCTCTGGCACGCAGCTTGCCAGGGTAAACACCCTGGTGGGCCGGGCCAGTCTGTTTACCTGCTGCGTCGGCAGGTTCGGCCAATCGCGGCTCCCACTGGCCGCGGTTCGCCGTCCCAGGCCAATGGGGGTGGCGGGAAGCCACAGCCAGCACATTCCTAGCCCGCGCCGCTTCCTGCAGCGCCCATTGGCCTGGGATGGTGAACCGCGGCCAGTGGGAGCTGCGATCGGCCAAACCGGCCAATGCGGCAGGTAAACAAACTGGCCCGGCCTGCCAGGGTGCTTACCCTGGCGAGCCGCGTGCCAGAGGTTGCCGAGCCCCGATATAAGCCAAGGCATCTGAGCGATTTAAGGACTTCTTTAAGACTCTGAAAGCAGCTGTAGTTGTAAGAAGTGGTGGTGGTGATACAGAAAATCCATTGTGGAGGGCTCTGAGGGGAATAAAACTATTCTGAAAAGATAAGGAAGCAAAACAAAATCCAATTTCCTGTAACTGTAGGGAGCTGTGCTGCAACTGAAACTGTTTTGCTATGTGATGTGCAGTTCTGAAATGTAATCAGCATCTCCTAGACTTTCACTGTTCCTTAGCCTTATTGGCTGAAGGCAAATCAGAGGAGGAGCATGCCTCTGAATACTTTTTCACCCTCTACACACCATAAAACAGGCAGCAAGCGTACACTGCCTGACAGAGTGGTGCTTGCGGTTTGAAATTGGTTTCCACTCAGCAGCAGTCACTAGAGTATTTTACTTTTACCTTTCCTAATGGAAGACAAGAAAATACCTGAATGCATCAGTATATATAAGCTATGTGGGGGGGAAAAACTAAAACAGCTGTAGATTGAATATCATGGAACTTGATAACCATGCTAAAGGTGATGATTATTAGAAACTGCATCTGTAAGAGACAAAACCAGCATTTCAGAGTCTGAAATCCTGCTGTTTGATATCATGGTAGAGTTTTAACTGCTTTCTCCCTTGGAGGCTTTTGTGCTAATTTTGCAAGTGAAAAGTCTCAGGAGGACTACAAGGAAACTAAAAAGAAACTTGATATTTAAAAGGCAGCAAGCTGGAAAAATACCACTTAGCATTGGATCAGCGCTTCATAAGATGAACATCACACGCCACCATGGCATGCACCAGCCTCTGCGCTTCTGGAACCACAGCTATGGATTGCATGGTGGTGCCAATGAGTCAAGTGGAAAAGGTTACTCCTCTGGGGGGTGTTATGAGCAACTTTTTGTGGCCCCGGAAGTGTTTGTGACTCTGGGCTTCATAAGTTTATTGGAGAACATTTTGGTCATTGTGGCAATAGCCAAGAACAAGAATCTGCATTCACCTATGTACTTTTTCATCTGTAGTCTGGCAGTGGCTGACATGCTAGTGAGTCTGTCAAATGGATCAGAAACCATTGTAATCACCCTGTTAAACAATACAGACACTGGTGCACAAAGTTTCACCGTAAACATTGACAATGTCATTGACTCGGTGATTTGCAGTTCCTTACTTGCATCCATTTGCAGCCTGCTTTCAATAGCTGTGGACAGGTATTTTACCATCTTTTATGCTCTCCAGTACCATAACATTATGACAGTGAAGCGTGTAGGGATCATCATAACATGCATCTGGGCTGCTTGCACGGTTTCAGGCATTTTGTTCATCATTTACTCAGACAGCAGCGTTGTCATCATCTGTCTTATCAGCATGTTCTTCACCATGCTAGTTCTCATGGCCTCCCTCTATGTCCACATGTTCATGCTGGCCCGACTGCATATCAAAAAGATTGCAGTTCTTCCAGGGACGGGCACCATTCGTCAAGGTGCCAACATGAAGGGGGCCATCACTTTGACCATCTTGATAGGGGTTTTTGTTGTGTGCTGGGCCCCATTTTTCCTCCACTTGATTTTCTACATCTCCTGCCCCCACAACCCATATTGTGTATGTTTCATGTCCCACTTTAACTTGTACCTCATTCTCATCATGTGCAATTCCATCATTGATCCCCTTATCTACGCATTCCGGAGTCAAGAGCTCAGGAAAACCTTCAAGGAGATCATTTGCTGCTGTTGTCTGCGAGGGCTTTGTGACTTGTCTAACAAATATTAAATGGAAACAGAGAAGCTACTGTGCATACACACCACAGACCTCTAAACCTTCTAGTACTTTTCTCAACAGAACCTGGGCTATGTCTTTAATAATTAATCTCTCTCTCCTGCAGTTGTAAGTCTCATTTATGTATAATTTATATCTCTGTGTAATGCCTGTGCAAGCTACAGCTGTGATTATTTAACTTTGCGGGGAAAAAACCTCACCAGTCTGTAAGTAAAAGAAAAATGTAATCTTTCTGGATTGTGAAATACTAATAAACATGATCATCTGTAGGTCCTAGATGTTGGGAAATAAGTTAATTGCCTTACTTAAAATACACATATATTACTCTCCACACTTATCCTAATTCTGTTAACCTAAAAACCAGAGGCAGTTAGTTACTTGCATCCATGTATTAAATTATACACACATGAAAATTTAAAATGTAGTTAGGCTAATTATGAGTGCTTCTATATTTTATTTGTGTAATGGTGGATTGAATTTTATATTTTAAATTGACATGTTTCATTGAGTTAACTCAGTTCAATAATTAGCTTCATCATAGGGGTTCAAAATAATTGAATAAAGCTCCTTTCCACTGATGCATGTACTGTCAAAAATGAATAAGATTTTTACACCCTTGCCACACAAGGTGATAGCTAGATATATAATGCTTTACAAGATAGTGATTGTTGTATGACAGTTTCAGCTCATCAAGTGAAAATACTTTCCTAGAGTGACATTTTGTGCTGGATAAAGTTGCCAGACTAACATCACTGGAGACTTAAGCCACCTGCTTATCTGCAGAACAGATGTAATATGGATAGGGTTGGCAGAATTTTTGAATTTTTTAATAATTTTGGTGGATAATATCAACGTTTATTTTTAAGCATTGTTTCCTACTTTTATCAATTTAAATTTTCACAGTTGTGGGAAATTATGGCAGTCAGACAATAATTATTTCATAACAATACAATAAAACACAAATTGTCAATATCACACGTCAAAATATATCCAATAAATAGCCTTAAATCAAACTCTAAGTTCTCAAGCAGCATTTTTCTTACTTTGACTCTCTGTAAAGTTTGATGATTATTGATGGAGATATTTTTTTCATTGGTTTGCGTGTTTATGGTAAAATCAACATTTATTGACATTTACCAATAAAAGTCTAATCCTTCCAAGCCTAAATATGGGCATTGACAGCACAAGCTTCTATACATAGATCCCCTGGTACAAAGGTAATTCTATCTCGAGGGTTAAAAGGCGACTTCTGAATATTTTCTGTCCTTCTCCTCTCTAACAAGACTAGCGATATGGGTGTCACTTGTGGTGTAAGTTGGATGCAGGCACCTTTTATTATACAAATAATACCACAGCATTCAATAGTAATTGCCCCAAATTCTGCAGTACTGCTATGTAAGATGTAGTGGTTCACACCATTATTGTAGAATATTTTTATAGTACTTTCTTTTTAATAAAATCACCTGTCAGCTGGGACATGCACTGAGATGATTAATTCATTCCTCGTATGCCACTGAGCAAGACTAGATTGTCCTTTGGACACTGCTTGGGGAGATTGTGTAGTAAAATGGAAGGGACAATGGCTTGTGAGTCTGGAAACCCTGGTTCCACTTCCAGTGCTGCCAGTGACCTGTGTCTAATCATTTTGTCTCTCTATTCCAAAACCAAACACTATAAACCCAGTGAATTCAAAGTTAAGGGAAACCTTAAAATAAATACAAACATGTTCAAGTATGAAAATGCACAATTAGTGCACCCAAACAACCTTAACTTTTCCCTGCAATGATACCAGGCAATAAATATATGTTTGTGATTAAAGCTTGTTAATATTTTTGTACCTAAATTAAATTAAACTGATGTTTAAAGACACATTACATTTTTTTTTAATTTCATGCTGTGGAGCCATGTGAAAAGCATTTTTTATCTTAACCTTTCCGTGAAAAAGATGTAGATTCCACAAGGGGAAAGCAATTATTTCATCAAGAAAATTCTATTTTCACAACAAAAATGTCAAAGCTACACGTGTATTTGCCCCCCAAGTACTTTTTCACAATATTATTAATATTTAAACACACATTTTGTAATTGGAGTGCCATTAGTTTATAGAGGTATAGTGATTTTTTTATGTGCAATTTTTCCAAGTTATTTTATTTGCAAAGGTTATAAAACTCTGCAAAACCATAACAAAGGATTGTTTTTAAAGTACCTGAAAATCCAGCTTCCTCGCTCTCTGCAGATTAGCTCAAAGTTCAGGGTGAGTTTCACAGGCCTAAATATTTCAAAATGACTCACTTTTTGGATGCCCGACTTTAGATGTTTCACAAGGGCTTAAATTTCAGAGAGTGGGTGCTCAACACTAGAAATGGATTTTCCATCCCACAAAAAAAAAAATGAGATTTCAATTTTTTTAGTATTGATCAGGGATGAACAGCCACAATTTAATTTTTTTCATTAAATTAAATCTAAAAAAATTCTTTTCGGATTAATCAAAATGTTTTGGTTTAATTTTGACCTGTGTGTGTGTGTGTGTGTGTGTATATATACACATACACAAGTAAATTTCAAAATTAAAAGTTGTTTCTAAAAGAAAAATCAAAACTTTCTGTTCTGAAAATGGTGAATAGGATGTTTTTACATTTTCAACCTGTTTTCCCTAAAATTTTTGTTAAAATCAATACAACTTCATGAAAAATGTCAATTTAGTTGAAGCAGTGTTTTTCTGAAGGAAAACTGTTTAGATGAATATTTTTCAACGAGCTCTACTCAGCACTTTCTGAAGATCAAGCCTCTTTAAGATTTGTCAAGATGGGCATCCAAAAATGGAGGCATCAAAATCACGAGCTACTTCTGAAAGTTTAGGCCAGAGTGTCTACATTATTATTACCAATATAGTGGGTGGTGGGGCATGTAGAGGGGCATCTAGTCAATGTATGACTTTGGGGATCTCGGTATTTTGGACAAGTAAGTATACAATCATTTGTGTGCTGACAGTTACTGATATTTGTCTATTTGAGACATTCAGTAAGATGGTTCAGGAAGGTTATGTACAGTGTCTTGATAATATCAACCCATACAATATTGGTTGAGGTGCAAGATTTCAGATTTCTCCTTGTTTTTATCCCTTGAAAACTCAGAAAATGCAGAAGGAAGATAATGAATTAAAACATTAAATTTTCATCATGAAGGGGAATTTTAGCCTCTACAATTTATGCCCTGATCCTGCGAACACCTATACACATGCTTAAATTTACCACTATGTGGAGTCCCATTGATTTCTCTGGGACTACTCATGGCAGTAGAGTTAAGCACGTGTATAAGTTTGTGCAGGATGAGACTCTCAGAGTGTACCCTAATTACAGCAGGTGTCAATAATAGCTCAACACTTGCTCAGCCAGGAACCTACAATAAGAGGCTGATAATTCAGTTGTTGTTGAGGGTTCTTGGCACCTCTCAGGATTGGGCCCAATCTTTCAATGCTCAGTGTCTTGCAGAATTGTGGCCTAGACCCTGGTATCTTCCTGTACTTACAGTGAAAGACAATGGTATAATGCAGAGTGGCAAATAGTGAGACTTTAATGGCACCCCCTGCATTAACATTAATCATTTCCCCTTATAAGAAGAAAAAAAGGTGGAAATAAGATACCTTTGTCTGGTACACCTGAGTTGGGGGCCTGAGGAAAATAAATCACTTTTAGAGATTCTAAAGAGAGAGGATTAAAGATGAAAAAATAGGTTAAACTAAAAAAAAAAAAAATGCTCTCAAAAAACGTGGAATTCTATTTGATTCTGTCAAAGGACTTTTCATCATCTACAAGATATTACACGTATCTACAAATGTTAGGTGTACTGAATTACACTGCAAAGTTTGCTGATATTTTCAGCCAACTAATTTGTGCTTGGGAAATCATGCCTGGCACTTTGTAAATTATTTTCTGAACTACTCATTTAACATTCAGAGAAAACATTCTATCTGATATTTTATGATTTAGGGTGATATTAAATAAGGAGGTAATTTTCACAATGTATTGGTTACCCCACAGATTTTTTCCTCAACAATATTATCATAATTTCCAGAAAAGAGTTCCAGTCCCTTGCCCTATTTCAGGGATCGGCAACGTTTGGCACGCGGCTCGCCAGGGTAAGCACCCTGGCGGGCCGGGCCAGTTTATTTACCTGCTGATGCGGCAGGTTTGGCCGATCGCGGCCCCCACTG